TGTCGAAAATATTTAAAAAAAATCTTCTATCTTTAGGAAATACAACTATGGTATTTCATGTTTAAATACCAATTATTAAAATTTAGTGAAAATAAAAAGAAATACAAAATAATTTAAATGGAGGAAAGACAAAACAACCTATTCTAAAACTAAGACAAAATAATTTCATGTGTCACAGTCTTTACTCGCGATGTCGCTGTCATGAAGTCTTGTCTTTACCTGAAAAAAATGATCTGGCACACGACCTAAAAATAGTAGTAAGTGACCCCACTAGAAGGGTCATGCTAATGCAAACATATGCAATCATGCTCTAGGGACTACTATGGATGTGTAGCCCTACACATGACCCACACGTGCGAGTGTGAATCTCCAGGGGGCTCGTAAACCTTGGACCCTCTCTGTCAAGCTAGCTATATGTAGCGACGTTCGGTGGTCAACGGAAACTCTGGTGTCACTCTCTCATGATCACCGTGCTCAGTGTGCGTTTGCACTCGTCATCTCTAGGGGAAGTATCACTATGTTTATGACATACAACATGCATGAGGTCCCTCTAATTCCCATTTTAACATCTCTTTTGAACTATCTAGTCTTATCTCGTTGTTACATTAAGTAACACATGCTCGTTGGATATTTATATTAATATCATTTTCATGCTCTTAGGGTTATGTCCTAGTTCAATCTATGATACAATATGACACTTCTCATCGTATAACATGCTTAATATGGAAAACATCAACATATTAAGATAAAAGTCATGCAATCATCATAATCATCATAAAGCCATTAAGTGCATCAAACACATCAGGTATGTCATACATTGAAATATATAAATTACATACATTATCATGCATCACAGCTCAAACATCATAACTCATACATCATCATACATTGTAAATGTAACTATAACCTACACAATTGCTAGCCTATCCTATAGTAGAGGCACTTACTTAGTTGGCTTTATTCGGAGTACTCCCTAATTTAATTATGTAAGCTCTCGCTCCTTGAGGACTGCTCCAAAGGTTGTCGGGGTTCATTTCCTATCGCATCATTCGTCACCGTTAGTATTTCACAATTTAATTTCTAATTCAACTAATAATTGTGAAATACAGCACTAAAACGACCTCAATTACCTTAATCATGACTGAAAATAGGTTCGGAAGGGTCAGAACAGTGAAAAACGGGCTAAAATTGGAAAACAATAGCCGCCAAAGTCACCACTATTAAGGATATTTGACCAAATATTCTCAGCCGCCACGCTGTCCAAGCCGAAGGGTTGCTTGCGCTGCAGGGTGACACGTGACAGCAACAGCAAAGCGAGCCACGTCATGCAGATGACATCGGGTCGAGGTGCGGGTTGCGGAGCGGCTCGAGTTAGCCTCGCAAGTCACATTTGTAGGCTGGCTTACTAGGCTTCGGTTCACTAGCGAGTTTGGGCTTCTGGGCTGGTTTTGGGTTTTAGGTCGAGCTATAATTGGGCCTCGGGTTCTGCAAGCGGGCTAGAGACGGGTCACGGGTTTGCAGGCAGGTCGTCGCGGTTTTGGACTGGACTGACGATTTGGGACTGCGGGTATCCGATTTGGGTCCCACATTAATTAGAGAAAGAATCGAGTACCAACGAAGACGTTGGGCCTCGAAGCACCTTTGATAATGATGTAGAAGCCTCTCCCTAGTGTACGCATTTTAAAAATTTTGAGAGGAAGTCTGAGAGAGAAAATCAAAAGATGACAATATTTGCTAGCGATCGGTCTGGATCATTACACTTATCAAGTAGGAATTGAAACCTAATAATATCGATTTCATATCCTACTTTTCAAAACCAGACAATCATATATTCAACTTTTTAAAAAAGCATACATATTTGGTATGATTTAAAATCTTAAAAAAAAAAAAAGAAAAAAGATGGGAGCTTGAAGGTGGGGGACAGAAACGAAAGAGAGGGAAAATAGGAGGCCACGTGAGAAGACACTGTACACAAATAGAACATAAAATCCCAGAAACGTCGAATCAGAGAGGTGTGTGTGAGCACTGCCGACGGAAATAGATTGATTGGACTCCAAAGCCAAGCCCTCCAGTAAGGGAATTGGGAGGATAGTGATTATGAATCCATTCAAATGCTCCATTCCATAAAACATGCTATGTATCAATCAATCTCCTCCCTTTCTCCATCTTGTCTTCTCATCATGTGTTATGTGTTTTCTTTGGACTTCCACTTCCATCTTTTCCTTTTGCTTTCTTTGTTTACAAGATTCTTTGACACACTTTACGGGCGAGCGGCTTTGGATCGTCGGTGTACGTTTGGTTTAAGATGGCGTGTCCGTCTTAGTTTAGTTTAGTCTCTATGTGAGGTAAGAATAAAATAAATACAAAACTACCCAATTTTTCTTTGTGCAATATTGACACATGAAATACATTATGCACGACCGTAAAGATAAGCAAAGATAAGCAACATTACTAATCTCTCCAAGATCTCAAATGGGCTCCTGAATCTCGGGCTCAGCTTGTGTTTCTTCTTGAACCTTAATCTATTTCACTTCATGCCACATTGAAAAAAATGAATATTTATTATTATAAATTTTGGATGTATCATAATTTAGAGTAATTTAGAGTTATGATGTTTATTTAATGTAATTTAAGACTTATTTACACGGTGGATAATTATGGTCATAAATTATACATAGCAGCTAATTATAATTATGAATGTTACAAACTCTTAAATGCTATGTATGTTATCATTGTAAATGAGACTTGAAAATGTACTAAAAGAACGTTTGTGTTTTCCTTTAGCCAATGACTAAGTTTCTTTACAATTCTACGTAGTTTAGGTTGTATGTAAAATCATTCAAGCTCTACATAATCAATCTTGGTTGTGGAGTGGTTCGAATCTCAAACAAGTGTTCTTGCCTTGAGATATTCGATCAACAAGGTAATTTTAATCCTACTCCTCTTATGGTGATTCCATATTATTTGGTATCAGAGCCTTGGGCTGATTCCTTATCACATTTAAATAATGAACTCGAGGGTTAATCTAAGACTTCACAAGTGTGTCAAGAGTGCTAGTTTTGGCAGGGCAGTTGTGTTGTCAAGCCTCATAAACAAGTTTAAGGGTTAAAGCTCATTTGCCAACACCATAGTAGGGGGAGTCCTACTCGTCATAAAGCATGAACCAAGTTCATTAGCCAAGTGCTTGGGGTTCTGAATTTGGGCAACTGATAATTGGAAGGTGTACCAAGTAGGGCGCTTTTCAAAGAGCCATTCACTTAAAAGGAATAATCCAATGATTGCAAGCAAAGAAGTTGGGGTCAAATGAGACATCGGCCAAGTGCCAGATTCAATATAATGCAAGTCTATATGGATTGGTCAAGTTGAGGAAGTGTGAGAGAACTATATTACGAGACAAGTATTTGAGGAAGTCTGACACAACTATATTCGCCTAAGTAGTTTCTAGGGGAAAATATTATCTATTCTTCTGTTTAGTTCTAAGATAAAACTTAATCTATTCTCTTATATAATCTTGTAAGATGAATTATCTGTAACTACTCAAAGTCATTAATATTAAACTTTTAGCTCTCACAGATATTTCCACCTCGATGTTACCACATATATTTCTCTTTATGTCTTCTTTCTTTTGTTCTTCGTGTTCTTCATCTAGATCGTGTGTGTTAGTTTTGCAATCCTAATAATTAGTTTGACGACACATGGATCATGCTCAACGCACCACCTGCTAACGCTTCCGTTTGACACATGGGTCGTGCAATGCGTTCAACTTTCGGCCCATGAGACTTAGATTCACCATTACAACCACTTGTTAAGAAATGATGAAGTCTTGCTCTATTTCCCTTTTATTTAAGCTTTGTTTGAGTGCATTGAGATGAAGAATGGTCAAATTTAGGTGCTCAAATAATAGCTTATTGCACGTTAGCTGAAAGATAGAAGAGTAAGTTATGGTTGTCCTTATTAAAGAAAGTTGGATCAAATTAAGCTAACAAAACTTGTGGTAACAACATTTCCAAAATTGTGTATTACTTGAAGTAGAATGGTCCAAAAAGAAAGCGTTGGGAAAATTGATTGAGGACAAAAATTTATTAATCAAGCCTTTAGTGGAAGTGGGTATTAAAAGAAGCAATGGTATGCTTTGAGAGACATCACATGGAGTGTACATATTTTGGCAATGGGGAGCACTACGGGTCGAATAAAGTGAGTAAGGGTATGCTTAGAGAACGAATCATCATTTATAAGGGTGTGAGAATCTCTTTCTGAGCATTTTAAAAACCTTGATGGGAAACTCAAACTGAAAAACCCAAAGAAAACAATATCTTTTAGTGGTGGGCTTGAGCTGTTACAAATGGTATTAAAGACAGACACTGGGCGATAGGCTAGCGAGGAGACTGAGCCCCGAAAGGGTGGACACAAGGCGGTGTGCCAGCAAGAACGCTAGGCCTCGTAGGGGGTGGATTGGGGGATCCCTCATCTTTGGAGACGGTTGGGCCCTGAAGGAGAGTGGATTGTGAGATTCGACATCGGTGCTAGGCCTTGAAGGAGGATGGATTGTGAGATCCGACAAGGCCATGAAGGGGGTAGATTGTGAGATTCCACATCAGTTGGGAGGAGAACGAAGCATCCTTTATAAGAGTGTGGAAACCTCCCCTGGTGGATTGTGAGATCCCCCATGGATGTTGGGCCCTAAAGGGAGAGTGGGTTCCACATCGGTGCTGGCCCTGAAGGGAGAGTGGATTGTGAGATCCTACCTCAGTTGGGGAGGAGAATGAAACATTCTTTATAGGGACGTGGAAAGCTCGAGATTATACATTGATTGAAGAGGGGAATGAAACATACTTTACAAGTCTTTACATGGGTGTGAAAACCTTCACTCCACCAAATGGTTTCAAAATCTCAAGGGAAAGTTTGAAACGAAAGATCCATATTTATTAATGGTGGATTTGAACGGTTATTGGTGGGTGCTTAAATTTGATTCCCCAAAAATGTGACGTGGGCTCAATTGTCCAAGATGCTACTATGGGCATTGGTTTAATCCTCCTCCAAATTGACTTTAAGCATTGGTTTGTGCACTAATGAATTCCCTAGAGGAAAAGAAAAGTATCCCAAACGAGAAGAAAGGAGTTTGAATTATGCAAAAGCTTCAAGTGTCAAGTCATTGCACAGTTCCTTTCCAATTGGAGTGGTTGGCTACAATAACACAAGACACGAATTTATACGGTACTGTGGGGGAAAAACCAGACCCAATGGGCGTTGTGATTTGATGGATATGGGATGGCCGCAGGCGGAGAGGTGAGTTAAAGGGCCGATTCAATCTGAACCTAAATGGGTTCGCCTAATATTCTTGACGGATTTGGTACAAGAAATCAACGAGAAGAAAACGGGAAAGGCCAAATCCAACGTAAAGCAAATGGAGAGAGGAAAGCAAAGGCAAAGCAGTGAATTGACTGACAACTGGCGACTGGTTAGCGAGAGGGAGGGGGGTCCTCTCTCTTCTCTCTTCTTGTCTTTGCCTTTTCTTCAATATTCATCAACACCCACAAAGATCTTTGCTCTGTTCTGTTCTTGGGGTCTCTGTTTTCGTTTTTGTTATTGATTCTTTCTATGGGGGTTTGAATTTACAGACCCGGATATGATGCGAGGGATCGGAATTCTTATGGGGTTTGATCTGGCTGGAAATGGGTTTTGTCTGTTGGCCTTTGATTCTAAGTGAATTTCTTGGTTTGTTTGATTTCTGTGTGTTTTAGCGGTACGGCTTTAAGAAGAACAGGGGAGGAAAATGTGGGATCTCAATGATTCGCCCGATCATGGCGGAACTGATGAATTTGAGGGCCTTTCGTCGATTGACGGCGATGATGAAAGAGCGAAATGGGTTGGATCAATTAATTCCAACTCGAGCTCTTCAGCAGTGATTTTGGAGGATGGATCCGACGCTGATGAAGCCAGCGTCGGCGAGCGCGAACACCCAATCTCCCGGGAAAGCTTCTCGGCGACCCACCCGCCGGAAACTCGTCAGTTCTTCCCCCTGGAGAATTCCAACGTGGATGCTTCATCAACCGGCGGTGGTTCTACTGCGTTTCCACGAGCTCGGTGGTTCGGCGTGAAGTTCTGCCAGACAGAGCCTGTCTCCGCCGTGAGACCAATGGTGGTTCTGCAACCAATAAAGAAAAGCCGACGAGGGCCAAGGTCTCGAAGCTCTCAATATCGCGGCGTCACGTTTTACCGGCGAACCGGCCGGTGGGAATCTCATATATGGTTAGTTTCCTCATGAACACAAACAAATCAGTTTCTATATTTCGCCATTAACGCACATCCTCTGGTTTCTTTTCACTGAAATAGGGACTGTGGCAAACAAGTTTATCTGGGTACGAATCAAAATCTTTGAATTCTAATTACTTTTTTTCATTACATTATGACAAAATTCTATGTTGATTAACTCGATCAAACACCCTAACAGGAGGATTTGACACAGCTCATTCAGCTGCTCGGTTAGCCTCTGATTTTAACATGTTCTTGCTTTGTCTTCCATCTTGAACTCAAACTGCATATCAATATGAGCAAGTTCTTCTGCAGAGCCTATGACAGGGCGGCTATAAAGTTTCGAGGAACAGATGCAGACATAAACTTCAGTATTGAAGACTACGAGGAGGATTTGAAGCAGGTCTTCCATGTTCATAACATGTTTTTAACTCAATTCTTGTTCAATTTTTTCTTATAGTTTTTCACTTTGGTTTTCTCTTAAACAGATGGGGAAGTTAACAAAGGAAGAATTTGTTCATGTTCTTCGTAGACAAAGTACAGGTTATCCAAGGGGAAGCTCAAAATTTAGAGGTGTAACATTGCACAAATGTGGAAGATGGGAGGCTCGTATGGGCCAATTCTTAGGCAAAAAGTAACCACATTTCTTCTATTCGCAATGTTTGTTTGCTACTTTGGTTTCGTGTTTATGATTGCGTCTGATATCGATTCAACAGGTACGTTTATCTGGGGTTGTTCGATTCCGAAATCGAAGCTGCAAGGTATGTTTATGAATGATCTATTGTGTTGGTTGATCTGTGTAGATTACATGATTAACAACATATACTTTGTTTTAGAGCTTATGACAAAGCTGCTATCAAATGTAATGGCAAGGAAGCTGTCACAAACTTTGATCCCACCATATATGAGAATGAGCTTACAACAGATACATCATCAGGCAATGTGTTGGAACAAAATCTTGATTTGAGGTTAGGAAATTCAAGCTCAAAGCAACACACAAATGATATGCAAAATAAGGTGAGAATTTCAGCTATATTCTGTGTATTTGAGTTAAGATTGTGGCTATTCGATGACGATGACGATGACGATGACGATCCAGGAATCAAATGTACTTGAGAAGATGCAGTTTGGTAGCGAAACGATCATTCGGTGTCCACCCTCCATCGACACAACGATACATGGGCAGTCCCCATATATCAATGAATCAAACTCTGAGGTAAGATTTTGGTATTAGGCGAGTTATGAAAATAAAGTGGGACGTGTAGCGTATCTGCGCGGTATCAAGTTTATATCGTGTTGTTCGTTGTAGATCGATGTGTCGCTGAGTTTGAGTGAAAGGCAGCAATGGCAGCAAGGTTGTGGTGGCTATGAACAAATTGGAACAGCGTCAGCAGCATCATCAGGATTCCCACAAATTCAGGTTTCAAGTTCACCAAATTGGGTGAAGAAAAATAATGGATGCTTCTTAGAGAGACCCTTTTGAATCATTCTTCCATGAACAATTGTTGTTTAAGAAGGAATAAAAGGGCATTTCATAAAATATTTTAAATAATTTTTTTAATAAAAAGAAATGAATATTTTTATAAGAAAATTATTTAAAATATTTTATGGATATTAAAAAAAAAAGTGATGACCATTCTTTAAAATAATTTTTAATTATATGAACAAATTTGGTTTACCCAATTCTTATGTTGAGTTATGAATAGGTTCAAATAAAAATTTTACAATATATATTTTTGTTTACGAAACCGTATTCATTTTATTTTCTATTCAGTTTTATAATTATTTTTTATTAATTATTCTCGACCCCTCTTTAAAATAATTTTTAATTATATGAAAAATTGATTTTTTTAAAATATATATAGAAGTGGAATTGCAAATTTTAATTAAATGTTTAAAAATAAATAAACACCTGTTTTACTTATTAACATTTTATTTTTATTAAAAATAAAAATTTGAATAAATGACCGAAATAACCTAAATCAATCTCATTCAAAAATCTGTAATTGGGTTGAGCTAGATACATAATTAAGGCTATTTTGGTTGATAAAAATTACGAGCGGAACTTCAAGTAAAATCTTAAAAAAATGTTTCAATCCAACTCAACTCAACTCATCGGGGTTTGTATAGAAATATATAATTTATTTCCAATTAAAACAACTCCAAGCTTACGAACAGTTTGTACAATTTATCTAAAAATAAGAAAAATAATAAAATATGTTTTGGGTGGAGACCAGTTAATGAATTTTAATTTGATGTCATGAACTCATATAGGTTAACTTGAATTTCAAGGGTCGAATTTGGATTAGTTTCAAGGATTAAATAGTGATTTCAGCTTAAGTTACCCAAGTAAGTGGCTTCGCTACTGGTTTGGTTAGATGAATTGTTTGAAGTATGAACGGCACGTGTTCTTTGTGGCCCTTGCATGGTTCGTATGTTGTGATTGATATGCTTGCTTTTCATGTAATGATGCATTGTTGCTATGAGATATGTCATATAATGGAATATCATGTTGAAACATTTTGTCGATGATGAATGTGATATGTTATGAAAGTATGGTATAATATTGTATACTACCTTATGTAATGATACGAAAGGAATGCTATGTATGAAATGAACGAAGATACATATTGCATTATAGACTCATGACATGATTTTAAACGATTGAAACATCGTGCATATTGTATGTTCATGTGCATCGGGACACTTCCCCATTATGATTAGTATGAATGCGTACACTACGACGATATGATACAATATTATGCACGTCATGATACTATGTGCTCTCCCTTCCCTCCATAGTATACCAGAAGCACGGGTGTACACTAGTCGAAGCTCAAGTCAAGGGGTACGTATACAAGCTCGTCTGGAGTCCACATGCTCACACGTGAGCCATGTGCAGAGAAATACTACACATTTAATAATATCCAAATTGGAAAGTTATGATAAAATGATATGATATAAAGAAAAACGTAAGAGGTTGTTATACATGATAATGAAATGAAAAATGTTGGGATCTCATGCATCGAGGGATATCTCTTTTTTTCTTTTACTATTGTATATACGTGTACACTACAAGGCAGGGAAATTATTATTATATTTATTATAATGTTGCGACGGTCACTATTCCTAAACGGGTGTCCGACACCAATATCTACCAGAGAATGCTAACTCGACAAGAAGGGGCCCGAAGGTGTGCGAACTGACTGGTGGGTCCATACTCATGTGTGGATCGTGTTAGAATAGTAAATACACATCAAATTAACTTGTTTAGGATAGACAGATATAATAAATCCCACTTATGATTGTATGTGTTTACTATAACCCCAATAGTGGGGTCACTTATTATTTCTTAAAATACTAAGTCACGTGCTACTCTATTTCAAGTAAAGGTAAGACATCTGTGTACAACTGACGACGACATCACAATTCGAGATCATGACACATGAATAGGATAGTTGCATTTATTTTCTTAAACTTGAAGGCATGATAGGTTATTTTTAATTTTTATGTTGACGTGAAAATGTTATAATAAAATATTAATAAAATGATAAATAAAGCAAAATCAATTAATTAATTAATAAAAATGAGAAAACTATCCCATCTACTTGTTCAAAAAAAAAAAAAAAAAAAAACTGTCTAAGTATATCTATTTTTTTTTTCTTTTATCCAATTATTTAGATTTTAATTAGCATTTTACTTACGCCGATCAATTAATAGCATTTTATGTGTTACATGGAGTACGTCAAATCAATAGCATTTTTACGGAAAAAAAATCATTAAAATAGCATTTTTATTTAGTCTTTTGTTGTGTTGTTTTCAAAATATGCAAGTTCATAACTATGTTTTAAGATGGAAGTGATGTCTTTCGAAAGTTTAAATGAAGTACTTCCACATTCAATGTTTATGATATGTACCGTGACAACCTTAAATTAATTAGAAAATTTTAAGTCGAATGTTAATTTTCATTTATGCATTAATGGTCTTCCACTCAAATAATTAATCATATATTTTTAAAATTTGAAATTTCTCAAAATACTATTTTTACTATTCTCCTAACTGGATCATTATCATTCTTTGAAGTCGGGTTTGTATTTCTCTAACTTTAGAATAATTGTAAAATAAAATAAAATAAATATATATCTATATAATTTCTGCCGAAGAAAAGGTAAAAAAAAAAATTAATTAATAATAAAAAATTTGATTATAATAAAATAAAGGAAATAAAGTATGAAGGGGACAATCACCGACCACAGCAGAACTGTCAAAATCCATATCAGAGAGACGTTACCAAAATAAAAGTTTTTACTTAGGACCAGTAAAAAAACAAGTTGGTAAAAGTAAAAATAAAAAAAAAAAAAGGATAGAGATAAAAGAATAAGGGTAAAAGAGTACGACACTGTACAACCAAGGAAAGGATCACTCATATCGAGATCCAATTATTTGAGTTGTTAACGTCGATATATATATATATATGTATACGTAGATGTATATGTTTATGTATCAGGTCAAATTTGTGTATACGAAATTGGATTGGATTAAAAAAAATAGGTTGATTCGAGATTTTAAGTGGATTGAGTTAGTAATTTGAATAATCCGAATAGAGGTCATGGTCCACTCTAACTCATTATTTTCGGGTTAGATTGTAACTCTATTTTCGTGATCTAACAAAAAAAAATATATATATCAACTTGGAAACCGAATTAAATTTTCAATTTTTTAAAAATCAACACAACCCAAATCGAAAAAAAGAATGAATTTGGTAGTCCAAGTTGGTCGAATTAACAAATCATATGAACTCCCGTACCGATCGTATGGGATAACAATTCCAAAGTTAAACTAACTATGGTATCGATGTGGATCAATCCTATAAAGAAAAGTACTACTAGATTTTAGTTGGCAACCCTCGAGTAGAACTAGGTTTGTCCTACCATAGTCCCTCGTAAAAACATACGAACCTTATGAATTTAGGAATAAACATTTGTCTGATTAAAGAGATTGAATTTACTCCGAACCCGTAAAAAAAAAGTAGTATAGTGTAGTAGAGTGATTGAGCTCTAATATGCAGAAAGTAACATAAATGCATTAATGTTTATGGAAAATGATAGCATAAAGTAAACAAAGTAATAATTAAAAACCAAGTTTAAAGAGTATGGTTTGACTTTGAACAAAAAGTGTGTTGAGATTAAGATGATATCATTAATGATGACTGCCATCTTTTTGTAGCTTCAATAAATATTGGCCCTTTAAGGGAGGGGAGAGAAAGAGAGAGATGGTAAGTTTCACATGTATATCATTTTTGCTATATTCATTGCATTGCCAAACTTGCATTTTAAGTTTGCCCACGATTCGCCTACGATACGGTCACGTTACCCACTTCTTACCTTTTAATTTTTAAGAGTGAACACTATTCTTGTGATGTCCTATATTGGTTGGGGAAGAGAACAAAACACCCTTTATAAAGGTGTGGAAATCTTCTCTAGCAGACGCATTTTAAAACCTTGAGGGGAAGCTCGAAAAAGAAAGCCCAAAGAAGACAATATCTGCTAGCAGTGTATCTGGGTCGTTACAAATGATATTAGAGCCAGACACCAAACGATGTGTCAACCTTCTCGCAGTTCTCCGAAAGGGGTAGACACGAAGCGGTGTGTTAGTAAGGATGTTGGGCCCTAAAAGGAGGTGGATTTAGTGGTGGTTTCACATCGATTGGAGAAAGAAACGAATGTTAGCGTCAGTGCCATTGAGGACGCTGGGTACCGAAAGGGGTGGATTATGATGTCCCACGTTGGTTGGGGAAGAGAACAAAACGCCATTTATAAAAGTGTGGAAACCTCAGCATATTTTGTCTTTATTCACATGTATTGTATCGCCTCTCTCCCTCATAGCAATATTGCAAAATTTGGAGATCATAGATCATATAGGTACAAAACATTGGAAAGGGGGGACCGAAAGGGATATACCATCACTCTCCCTCATGACCATATCGCCAAATTTTCTATATTTCTTTTCTCATGAACATACCTAGACCGTAAGTTCCATCAATTAAAAAGGTACATATTTCTATTAATAACAAAAGTCATAAAAAAAAATGGTTTATTGGTTAAGAACACACATCTCGACTATCAAAACAGCTTCACGGCTTCAACAAACATCACGCTAGATCTATTAACCCAACTTTTTGTTCTCTTTATTTATATCAACTATCATCAAATAAACATTAATGAAACGAAACCCATTTGATCAAAAAAAAAAAAAAAAATTATGTTGTGATGAAAATGATGGATAAATAATGAAGAACCTTGTTTGGTAACCACTATGCAAGATTGGTTGTAGAAGTGTTGGTGGGCACATTGAAGTTGATATTATGAATCAATTGACATGGAATCATGACCGGTGCTTGTCCAAGTGCTATAAATGCCACCCCATTGTGCTTTGGTTTTGATAGCCTACCAAGAACCTTCCCATCAATGGGTCGGATTTTATTTTAAGGATCCTTAAATTTTAAGAATTAAGAATTATATAACTTAAAATGAATAATTGTATTACAATTGA